ATCCGAGTCCTGTTTGATTCTGGAGTGTTAGTGAACTTTGTCGCTCCCAAATCTGCTAAGCGAACAGGCATAACGGTAAGCCCTATTGCTCAGAAAGTTCGTTTGGCAGATAACGTCGTTGGCGAGGCTTTGGGTGGGGCAGCTGTGTATGTTTAGTTACGAGCATTTCACAAGCCTGTGAAGTGCTACGTAATGAACCTGTTGTTCGAAGTTGATATTTTCCTAGTAGGTGATGAGTTCATGACTAGGTACAACTGCATTCTGCATTATGGCAAAAGTGTTGTCATGATTCAAAAAGGGAAAAGGCAGTTGACTGTTCGTAGTCCCCCTCTTCCTCGTTCACGTTCTGACAATGATGAAAAGTCTAATCCCGATGTGTTGTCACATTCGCAGTTGAAGCGGTTGGTGAAGCGTGGCGCGAGTGTGTATCTGGCGTCATTGAAGCCCATTGACCCAGACGCTGCCACGTGTCCTACCGCTACCGTAGCAGGCTCTGTGATTGGAGGCAACCAAGATCATGCCACTACAATGTCTGAGCCAACCGTCCAACCAGTCCAACCGAGCGACCCAGTCTCAAGTGAGAAGAAATGGGTTTCTGATTTGTTGTTTGAGTTTTCTGACGTATTTCAGGATCCTCTGCCGGTTGCTCTGCCTCCTGAACGTGCAGAAGGTCATGGTATTTCTACAGAGCGAGAGCATCCGCCTACGTTTTGGCAAGGGCACCCGCCTACGTTTCGGCACATGTACCGCTTATCTCCATTGAAATATCGTGAGTTGGAAAAGCAGGTCACCGCGTTTCTTAAGGCTGGGATCCTGGAAGTTTTCCAGTGTCCGTATGGTGCGCCTGTGTTCTTTGTCCCTAATCTCAACGGGCGTGGTCTTCGTCTATCTGTTGATTATCGAGCACTGAACTCGAAAACTGTGAAGACTCGTTGTACGGTTCCTCGCATTGACGATCTGTTGGATGCTATGAGCGGTTCGCAGTATTTCCCTTCTCTTGATCTGACGTCTGGGTATCATCAGATTCTGATTTCTGAGGAAGATCGTCCGAAGACAGCTTTCCGTACACCTTTCGGACACTTTCAATCTAAGGTGTTGATTGAGGGTCTAACGAATGCTCCGGCGACGTTTCAAACTGTTATGAACTCTATCTTTGCGCCTTATCTGAAGAAGTTTGTCCTTGTGTATCGATCTTGACGACATTCTGATATTTTCGAAGTCTGAGGAAGAGCATCAAGCGCACGTGCGTCTTCTTATGGATGTTCTGCGTCGCGAGCAGTTTTACGTGACAAAGGCTAAATCCCGCTTCGCTCAGACTGAGATTCGGTATCTGGGGCATATTGCATCATTCGTCCTGATCCCAAGAAAGTCAGTGATGTCCAATCTAGGCATGTGCCCAAAAACGTTCATGATGTGCGTTCGTTTCTGGGACTCTGTAACATTTTTCGCAAGTTCATAGATCACTGCTCTTCCATAGCAGTGCCTCTTACGAACTTGACGAAGACGTATGTTGGTTGGGTTTGGACTGGACGGTGTGAAGATGCTTTTGAGAAGCTTAAACGTAGTCTGGTTGAAGCTCCGTTGCTTAGGACTCCAGATGAGAAGAAGCCCTATGAAGTTATCACGGATGCTTCTGACCATGGTCTTGGTGCTGCAAGATGGTCATCCTATTGCATTTGAGTCTCGTAAGTTGAACTCGGCAGGGCTTAATTACACAGTCACAAAGAAGGAGCCTATGTTGGTTGGTTGTTGTTCATGCTTTGCGGGTGTGGAGGTGCTATCTCGAAGGAGCTCAGTTTACAGTGTTCACGGACCACGTGTCGAACACTTTCTTTCAGACGCAACCAAGTTGTCCCGGCGACAAGCACGTTGGTCAAAATTCATTCAGCGCTTTGGGGTGTTTTAAGTGGGAATACCATGGGAATACCGTGGTGTTTAAGTGGGAATATGCGAACGTAATGTAGCTGATGCGTTGAGCAGAGGGGATGTGACTGCCAGTCAGCTACAGAGCGTTGGCGCTGATAAGGCTCGGCCTTTCGGTGCAGCATTCGCTGCTGCTGGTAGCGACACCAAACCAAAGAATGTTCCAGAACAGAAGTGTGTCCGGCCAGACTGATTCTGTTCGTGGTGGCCAGAGTGTTTTTAGTCCGACTTTTGACTTGAGTCATTTCTTGCTCAAGCCCTTTATTGAAGGCACTGAGTCGGGAGTTGCCATCTGAGAAAGTCCAGCGAGATGCGAACTGGGCGGACTCCTGGACTCAAACCAGCTGATTACCACCTGGAAATGTTTTTTCTTAAAAAGGAGTCCCAAATAGTTGTCCCTGATGACGTTGAGCTGCGTAGAAAGATTATCTCACGATACTTACTACGCGGGACGCTATGGGATAGGCAGAACTAAACAGGCAGTTGGTCGTTTATTTTGGTGGGCTCCTCTGACAAAGGATGTTAGTACCAAGTATATATCGCCCTGTATTTTGTGCCAAAGAGCGAAGGCCCGGCGCCACAGGCCGTTTGGTGCATTGCAGCCTCTTCCCGTTCCTGAAAAGGCTTGGCCGACTGTCACGTTTGATTTTATTGTCAAGTTGCCTAAGACGGCTCGTGGGAATGACAGCATTTGTGTCTTTGTGGATAAGCTGACGAAAATGGGGCATTTTGTAGCTTGCCGTGAGGAAGGCTTGTCTGCAATTAAAGGATTTTGCAGAGCTCTATATCGATCAGGTCTGGCGTCTCCATGGTCTGAGCAAAGAGTTTATTACAGATCGTGATTCGCGGTTCACGAGTGCATTTTGGAAAGGGGTGACGGAGCTTATTGGTGCTAGGCACGTTATGTCCTCGTCTTTCCATTCGCAGACCGACGTTCAGACAGAACGTGTGATTCAAACGCTGGAAACGTATATTCGTCATTTTGTCACTGCGCAGCTAAATGATTGGGACATTCTGTTGTCACGAGCGGAGTTTGCCCATACTCAGCGTTCCACTCTTTTTCAGGTCAAACACCGTTTTTCCTTAACTCCGGCTCTAACCCAAGGACTCCACTAGGTGAAAAGTTGGAAGATGTGCACCCGGCCCTGCGTCTCTTGCTTTCGTTGAGCGTTGGTGTAACGG